AGATTTTTAGTTTAGTTTTTTATATTCCTTAGTATTAGTATTCATTTTCTTTGATATATTTGTTTTTATTATATACCTTTTTTTTTGTTCCTTATTATCCCTTTTTTTTTCTTTTTTCCTTCTCTACGAGAAAGTGCTATCAGTTTGGTGACATTCTATTTTAGAATAAGAATCTTGACAAGGCAAGCAATAGCCAGCTGAGGAATCTGGGAGAAATAAGTCCGGAGTGAGTTCCGGATCTCTGGAGGAGGCCAAGTGTTGCTAGCCAGGTCACATCTGAGCAAACACAGTAGTTTAATAGTTCATCCTGACTGCAAGTAGATGTTTCAGCATTTGCGAAATACGCTGTGAATGAGTTTAGTCTTTGGTTAGAACACTATAGATTTAAATTTCTTCATATACCAATATAGAAATGAAAGTCTGTTCTTATAATAAAGTAAACAGTATTGTTGAAAGAAAAAAAAAATACTAACACAAAATTTTAAATTAATCTTAAATTAACTAACAATGAATCTAAATATTTTATACAAAATAAATACCTATTTTTAGCATTTCATTTATTTCTATTCAAAAAGTTTACTATAAAAGATTTTTTAAAATGATAAAAATTAGACATTTTTAACTATATATTCAAAGCTTATTTGATTTTGATAATTATTAAAAAATTTTTTAAATATACAACTTTTGAAAGATAAAATGCATGTTAAAACTAATCAAATTCAAAAATCTACTTATAGATTATTCTAGAATACAATTTTTTAATTTGATAAATTTACTGACTGTAGTAAATGAATAAAATATATATAAACCAATACAGTATAAAACTTTGTTCAAAAAAGTTTTTAAATCTAATGACTAGTTTTTAGCATTGCTCAAAATAGTTAATAAAAGTTAGTTATATAGTAGAGTTAGTCTAATATAATAGATAATATCTAGATACTTATTAAAAATAGTTAGATAAGTTAAGTCTTATATTAGTATATATATAATATTATAATAGATTATATATAATAATCTATATAAGTTGCTAATAAATATCTAATAAAATTATTAACAAAACTAAAGTTTAAAAAAAACTATATTACATATAATAAAAATCTTTATGTAAGAAACCAAATTGGTCTTCATAGGTGAATTGCAAAGTTAAAATGAATATAAATAGCAGTATCAACAAGGCAGATAGTCACCAGCCTGTAATCGAAGAAAAATAAATCTTTAGTAAGTTAAAAATTCTGAGAAACAAAGACTACTGAGGCAGGTCACATTTAAGTAAAAAGCTGAAAGTGAGTCTCTCATTTGGTTAGATTAGCAATAGCTACAGATAGAAATGTATAATTTTTGAATAGCTTAATCTCAAATAAACAGAGTTAAAATTGCTAAATTATAAAAAAATAACAATAATCTTTACTAGTTTATATACTAATTTTAATATAAAGTTCTAATCTATATTATAGATTTAATATAATGCAATAACTTATAACCAATCAAAATTCAAAAAATTTGAATTTTTTTAGTTATTGTTATAATTATAATAAATCAAGCCTAATTCTGCTATTAATTTTATGATATAGATTATATAGATATTATAAATATATTATATAATCAGTATTGTTAAAATTAATAGTTAATCAAAACTTTGCTAATTAAATTAGTCTAGTCAAATTGGTCAAATTGGCCAAACTGATCAAATTGATCAAATTGATCAATATATATTTTATATAACTGAATTTACTATTTAACCAATTTAACTAAAAAATTCATAAATTAAACTAATCAAATTGATTGAATTGGTCTGATCTAATGATCAAATTAGTTTAGTCAAACCAATACTATTGTAATATGCTTGCTTAGCTTAATTAGATATTAAATATTTAATAATAAAGGTGTCATCACCAATTAAGTCAAACAAATATATTATTTGACTTAACATATAAAAGTAGTTAGAAACATAACAAACATCAAATGATTTTTTAGGAGGGGAGAGGAGTAAAAAATTTAAAATTATATAAAAAGAACTAATCAAAATATATAAAAAAGAGAAGAAGGAGTAAGCTTCTGATAAAAAAAAATCAGATAATAAATGACACTATACTTAAAGAATATTTTAAACAAGAAAAACTAAAGAAAAGTCTAAACTAAAACAAAAATACTATAAGATAACTATACAAAAAGTCAAAAATAACAAGGTTTACTCAAGTATAGGAATGTTAACAGTCCAGTCCAGTCTAGCTCAATCTATTTTTAGCCCAGTTCAGTCTGGTCTTTTTTAGTTTAATTACAGTTTAGTCCTATAATCAATTAAAAAACCAACAGTCCAAACTTTCAGTTTGAATTTATAATAAAAGACTGGTCTAAAACTAGTTTTTATAATAAGTCTAAGAAGACTGATTTAAAACTGGTCTTTACGTAATAAGTCTGATAAAAGACCGATCTATGAATTTATAATCAAAACCTGGTCTAAAGCAGTCTTTATATGGTGGTTCTAAAACCGGTTTTTTTAATAAATCATAAGTCTAATAAAAGACTAGTCTAAAACTGGTCCTTATAATAGAATTTATAATCAAGACTAGTCTAAAGCTAATTTTTATAATGAGAAAAGCTGTTTGTGGTCCAGACCTTCATTATGAATTCATAATAAAAGACCAGTTTAAAACCGGTCTTTATAATAAGTCTAATAAAAGACTAATCTAAAACTGGTCCTTATAATAGAATTTATAATCAAGACTGGTCTAAAGCCGGTCTTTATAATAAGAAAACTGTTTGTGGTCCGGACCTTTATTATGAATTCATAATAAATAACCAGTCTAAAACTGATCTTTATAATTCAATCTGTTATAATAAAAGCCAGGGTCCTTATGATAATAAATTTATGCGAACCACGTTTTATATACAAGAACCAGTCCAGAATTGGTCTTTATATTAACAAAAACTAAATTAGATAACAATAATAATAAAAATTACTCATTACCAGCTTCTATTTTTCAGGACTAACACTATTTAAATCTTTGTACATAGTTCTTGTGAGTTTGTATATACCTTATTATTATAAATATACATAGGCATATCAATTCTGTGTTAATTAACTGTTATATAACAGTTAAAAGTACATAAATACGTACGTACATACATACATTATAAAAGGATAACTTAACAGGTATAAGGCTAAAAACTACTAATCCAACTAATCCAACACTAATACTATCTAATTATCGATCTCAAGACTCTGAAATCTTGAAGTGGCAGGTTGAAAAGAGGCGTGGAAAGACTTGGACCAAGTTTCAAGGCTTCTGAGTCTTGATGCGGTATAACTGGAGATTTGGATAAGTATCTCTTCCAATTTTCTGTTATGAGCTACGTAAATTGGTCTAATTTGAGATTAAAGAGAACTCTAATTTCCAAGTTCTAGTATTCTAAGATTTCGATATTCAACTTCGATTATGAACTTCATTCACAATATCACGTGAGTTATGTGGAATCGCAGTTTTGGTATTGTAAGTGAATTTAAGCTAACAATGACTTTGATCAAGTTTTAATCAATTGTTATGCTTTTGGTATAAATAGGGTTTTGGATTACTAATAGTAACTTTCTTTCATTCTTGTATTATTTCTTTTACTAACAGCGAAAATATAAATATTAATAAGTCATGTGGACAAGGGTCTTTTAACAATGGGTTTATTTATAATGAAAGTTTTATTAAAGGAAAAGTTGAAGCTAACACTTCTACTTGAATTTCAAAGACAAATGCTTAACTGAGTTTTATTAAGGGAGAAAAGGCTCTTCTTTATATAATCATTTTTATATATAACAGAATTCTTTGAATCTAATTAAGATACCAGGAATTCTCAATAATTTGTACTACCTACAACCACTAATTCAGAAATAACAAGAAAGGTAATATAAAAATAGAACTTGTAGGGTTAATCTTTCCTCTCACAACGTATATACATAAGTATACATCTACCCTTATATATTGACATATATATAAAAATCTACGTAAAAGATTTTCTTTCTATTTACTATCGCTATATATTATCTACTGAAAAAAATACAATTAAAAAAATAATATTTTATTATAATAACAATAAATTTAATAGAATTAAAGAGATACGTATCTAATTTAATACTATATATGTTACAGAAAAAAAAAATATATATAATTTCTATTCTAACTCCATTTCATCATTAGTTTGACTAAGACCAAGACCTTCCATAATCTAATTCTTTAGACAAATGCAAGCCCTTGCAGTTTCAGGTAGAAGGCGATTTCTTGTTTTACTAATAGTTAAGCCTGCTAAAGAAAATGCCTGTTTGCAAGAAACACTGGTTGCCTGAATAGTAAAATAGTTCTTTGCGAGCTTTGACAGAATTGGATATCTTGTTTGATATATTTTCCACCATATCAATAGGTCAGTATTTTCCTCTGGAGGGAGTTCTAGATAATTATTTAATTCTTCTAAAGGAGTCTTTGGTGATTGATTTTGTTGATGACATACTTTGACCTTTTCAAAGTAGGACCTGGAAGATGCTAAAACTTTAGTAGATGAATCTTGATTGTCATTATCGTTAATAATAGAGTGGTATGGTTGTAAAATAACTTGGAGTCTTTGTTGTACTAATTCAGCTTAATCTAGTAAAAAATTAGTTAGCTTGGATTGGGGGTCTAAAACTACAGGAATAGCTGAATGAATATCAAAATAATGATTCCAATATTCCTTTAACTTGTTATAAATAGCTGATGCAATCGGATATTCACTAGAATTGACATCAAGATACTTTTTTAACTCAATGGACATGCCAGTAAATGTTACCTGAATATCATTAATAGTTGGATAAGAAGCCGAAGATAAGAAAATAGTGGCCTCATATATTGGTTGCAAGATAGTTAATAGATTCTAAATAATAAGAAGAATAGTAGTCATTTTATAACCTTATAAAAAAAGTCAATCTGTGTTTTATATTCTGTGCTTTGTCCATAAATATTAGATATTCACGAAATTTATAATCTCAAATTATAGAGATTATTCGGCTTGTCTAGATTTTGTCGATCATGTTGCAGATTCATGGAGTTTTCACAAAAAATATGAAGAAATAACAGAAATATTTGGAAAAAATTTTTACAGGTAATATATAAAGAATATACAGGAGATACTATAAGTTACCAAATTATTTACTTATACTATATAAGTAAATCATTTGGTAACTCATAGTATCTCCATAGTTTATAAATTATTAATACTTACATTTATTTCTTTCCATTCATTCAAATTAAAATATAGATCTTCAAGTTTTAATAAATTATTATTTACAAGGAGTTGGACCATTTCTTTGATTTTTATTTGTCTTTCAATCATCTCATACATAGATCCCCATCTTATTTCATTATCAAGAATGGGCACGAGATAAGGTTGTTTTTTAACTGAGCATATATCACGTAACTCATTCAATAATCTTGAAGAATTTTTTACTTTTTTTACAAATTTACACAACTTATGCAAGGTATTACTAGCAACTTCTACACCCCGTATAACTACCAAATTAATCACATGAGCAGCACAACGGTGATGCTCAAAAGAGATATTGTTAAACTCTAACTGAAGCTTTTGAATAAGAAGACTTCTACGTGAGACCATATTGGATGCATTGTCCTAAAAAAAAAAAAAAATAAAAAAATAAATAAATAAAATTAAAGAAAAAGAAAAAAAGTTAAAGAAAAATGCTAACTTTGTTAGACCAATTATTTTGTCATTTAGATTAAATTCGTCCAGGAGATGGAAAATTATACTTGCAATATTGCTCACTATATAGCTTTTATTAAGTAAAATAATATCAAGTAAGAAGTGCTTTAGTGTCCAATTATCATCAATATGATGAAGAGTAATACCAAGATATGAATTGTTTGTATTAGATGTCCAAACATCTGCAGTAAGTGAAACCATACTAGTTATTTTTGCAATATCATTATATAAATTTAAATGCTGTTTATTAAATTTTTCAATTATAAGATCTTTAAGATATTAACGAGTTGGTACTGGATATCTTTGATTTAGTAAATTTATAAATTTTTGAAATTGATTGTTTTCAATCGTCATAAAGGGCTGTTGATCTACGATTATCCATTCTAAAAGAGCATCAGTAATAGGATGCTGCTGTTCGCGTGAATATGGATGGTGATGACGTATATTTGAAGGTGTGTTGATAGTATTATATTGTACAGGGTGTTTAGCACATAAATGACGAGATAATGTTGATGTTGAGCATTTTTTACTATATATTTTATTTTTACATAGCATACATAAAATATCATCATCATTTTTTTTGAAAAATTGCCAAACTTTCGAGGTGTAATTAGGCATTTTAACAATAGTTTCTTTATTATCAAAGAAGACCGTTTAGAGCTTTAGTTACAGTTTTTATCTATCTATATATAAGTAACATGGATCAAATTTGTAATATTACATGAAATTTGTTTTGATCAAACGTTTGATATCTCATAGTATAGCGATCAGACTTTGATAATTTTAGTATCATCCGAATCATCTCAATGAAATAATTCAAATAATACTAAAATCATCAAAGTCTGATTACTAGACTACAAGATATCAATGTTTGATTAAAACAAATTCAATTGAGATTTATACAATAAAGACACATGAATTCTCTTGATGGCTTAGCCAAAGATATATATTGATTAATTGTGTTATTATTTTTATTATAAATTCAAAAATTATATGATTGGTATGTTAATTTTCATATATATATATATTTAATTTAATCAGTAATGATTGAATTAAATTAATAATTAATTATTAATCATTAATTAATTATTTAATCGATTTACTGAGCTCACATTATTTAAGTAGTTTTAGTTAATAACAACTTGGCCAAATTGTTGCTTACAGTGTACCCTTTTTTATAATACCCCTCTTGATTTTCAGAGGCCTAGAATGTAATGTACCCCGGATACTAAAAACAAATTAATTGCACTTGGGAATGTAAAATCACAGGATGCTAAAGATAGATAAAATATACTGTGGTACTCATATAGTGCAACTTATACCCTACTTTGACTATAGTATCCCTCCGACTATAATAACATATATACTGCTTAAATTGTAAAGTACCCTGGGTACTTTAGTTCACGCTGTATAGTAATAATAATTACTAATTATTAATAATTTAAGAGGTCTTACTACTAATCACAATAGAAGGTTTGATTTAATCAGTAAACAAATTAAATATGTATCAAATCAGTGATTTGATGATCATTTTATCAATTTAACCATTACTGCTACAAGTAAACCGAAGATACAAACTTTATATGGAAGTATTACATAATTTATCCATATTTATATTTGATCAGTAAACAAATTAAATATGTATTAATCAGAAAGTTGAATTTCTTATTATTTATGTGTAAGAGTTAAGATCTTTTAATAGAATTTTTTTTTATAAGTATAAAAAAAGTAGATACTTTCGTCTCAAACTATCATGAGATCAAACATGTGACATTCTCAATCAAAGATGTTAGTATAAAGTAATTTTTATAAAATACATCAAATGCAGAAATGAGGTAGTGGGAAGGCTAAGTAATAATTGAGTAATTAATTATGTACAGTAATTGATGAGGTATCAGTATGCAGAGGTAAACCTGACATTTATATTGACTCTCCCTTCTTACCCAATAAGATTTTCCAAAATGGCCTGTCGGGATGACAGTCATATGGGAAGCTGGTTAATGTGTGACTACTGAGTTTGTTTAAGAATATGATCTGTTTAAATGACTGTTATTTGTATAAAATCCTAATACATTCTATGATCTGTCAGGATGATAGTTAAATAAGAAAAAAATGTTACACAAAAAATCACCTGAAAATGAGACAAATTATTTAATTATATACTGAATTTTGTAAATAAGCTAGTTATTCTAATTAAACAATAAAAATAATATATATCTATATATTTACATATATGTACAATTAAATTATGGTTTCTAATAGCAATGTGATAATAATGTATAATACTGTATAGCGTAATGCAACACTATAAGATCTGCAAAACTTTATATTTAATATATTTGCATCTACTTTTTTAATACATTAAAAATGTACTCTAAAATATCTATTGTGCTAAAAGCATGCCAATCAATCTTATTAAAAAAGTTATTCAGACAAATTTGTTTTAAAAAAAAATCTTGTTACAAAATATTTCTGAATTTTTATTACATGAAGTATTTAAATAGTTTATTTTAACAAAATCTCAAATCCTAGTCAAAAACCATTATGATGCCAAAAAGACAGTCATATCACTTGCTTTAAAGGTATTTACCAAAAATTATATTTCTAAGCTTAGCCATTAATTCAGATCTTAGACCATCCTTTAGACCAGTCTTTAGATTGGTTATTAATATCAATCTTAAAATTGGCTATTAAGACCAGTTTTTAGATTGATCTTTAGGTCAGTCGTTCAATTGGTCTTTAGATCAGTTTATAGATCAGTCTTTAATTAGTTTTTAGATCAGTTTTTAGACTGGTCTTTAGATCAATCTTTAAACTGGTCTTTATATCAGTCTTTAGATTAGTCTTTAGACCAATTTTTAGGTCAATTTTTAGACCATCTTTAGATTATCAATCTTTAAATCAGCTTTTAAACCAATCTTTAGATCGGTCTTTAGACCAATCTTTAGATTGATATTTAGACCGATCTTTTTGAACTGATCTTTAGACCAGTTTTTAAGCCAGTTTTTAAACTAGTCTCTAAATCATAGTTTGTAGTTAGTCCTAAAACCAACTTAAGACTACAGTTTGGACTATTTTAAGACTGTGACTAGACCAAATAGGATCAGCTTCTCATAGGTTCAGACTGGTTCTATGACTAACTGCAGTCTATTGGTCCAAGACCGGACTGGATAACATCTCTACTCAAGTATAAATCAAAAAATATCAATAATTTCACAATAAAAATACAATAAAAACACTATAAAAATATTATAAAAACAAAAATAATAACAGTTTATTACTAAGAAAATACAAAATAAAGAGGCTTTTTCACAAGAAAATAATCAAAAAGAAGGGTCAAATATACCCAGCAATAATGTAATATACAAAAAATAAATTGTAGAGCATATATTGATATTCACCTGTCTTGATAAAAAGGCAGAGTTTATATATTTTTTATAATACTATAAAATAATATTATATAATAATACTATATAATAACAACATAAAATAACACTAGGAAATAATGCTGTAAATTATTATATAATGATATAAATCATTATAATAATGCTATATACTACTATTTAAGTCATAATATAATTCTAATGCTAAAAATAGTTATAATAATGATAATAATATAAAATAACACCATATAATATATTTCTAAAATTAGTAATATAATTAAATAATTATTACTACATCATTCTAGAAGGTTCTGGAGTACCGCATGTACTTATATTACTTGTATAGCCTTGCTCTGTGCTTTATTACGTTAAATGAACTAATAATTTAAATATTAAAGCAAATATTGTTTGAAATAAAATTCTGTAAAAGGTGCACTAATAAAATATATAATAAACTATTGTATAAATATTTAAAATAAATAAAATATACTATAAATTATATAAATAAACTAATAAAATGATAAAATATGTAATAATAATATAAAATATATAATAAATTTTAAAAAAATATATAAAAAAATATTAATAAAAATACG